CAGAGCCTCAAGCTAACCCCCTGGGTAGAGTGCCATGGCATCACAGCTCACAGCAACCTCCAACTCCTGGGCTCAAGCGAGTCTCCTGCCTTCGCCTCCCAAGTAGCTGGGACCACAGGCGCCTGCCGCAGCACCTGGCTATTTTTTGGGGGTCATTATTGTTTTGGCGGGCCCGGGCTGGATTCAAACCCGCCACCTTAGGTGTATGTGGCTGGCACTTTAGCTGCTTGAGCCATAGGTACTGAGCCTGAAGATCCTCTTAATACCCTGATTTGATCATTACACATCATATTTATGTGTCAAAATAACCACATGTACCTCATAGATATGTAGAGTTATTATGTTATCACTTTTAAAATGTAGAAAGAGGGCAACCCCTGTGGCTCAAAGGAGTAGGGCGCCAGCCCTATATTCCAGAGGTGGCGGGTTCAAACCCAGCCCTGGCCAAAAAATTGCCAAAAAAAAAGTGTAGAAAGAGATAACTGCTGCAGCTCTAGCTATCAACTCCTTATTCTAGGCATGAGGAAGGAATGAAGGGGAAAAGTGAGTTCTTACCGGAGCCATCTCCTATTCCCTGGGACTGTGGCCTCTGAACTTGCAGCCCCCAATGCCACTTTTTTTTTCAGCCATCAAAGCCACTCCATTCCCCTAGGTTGTAATTTTTTCTTTCAATGCCATTCTAACTGCCTCTATCCTTGAGGGGTGGGGGGAGCGCTTTTTTACTTCCCATTGCTCAAGGGATGTTTTCTTTTGCTTTGTTTTGCTTTTTTTGAGACAGAGTCTTTCCATGTCACCCTTGGTAGAGTGCTGTGGCATCACAGCTCACAGCAACCTCAGAGTCTTGGGTTTAAGCGATTCTCTTGCCTCAGCCTCCCAAGTAGCTGGGACTACAGGTGCCAGCCACAACGCCTGGCTATTCTTTTGTTGTAGTTCTCATTGTTGTTTGGCAAGCCCAGGTGGGGTTCAAACCTGCCAGCCCTGGTATATGTGGCCAGTGCCTAATCACAAGTGCTGAACCCAGACTCTCCCTTTGTCATTCTTGGTAGAGTGCCATGGTGGCATAGCTCACAGCAACCTCTAACTCTTGGGCTTAAGTGATTCTCTTGCCTCAGCCTTCCAAGTAACTGGGACTATAGGCACCCACCACAATGCCCAGCTATTTTTTCAGAGATAAGGTCTTGCTCTTGTTCAGGCTTGGTCTCAAATTTGTGAGCTCAGGGCAATCCATCCACCTTGGCCTCCCAGAGTGCTAGGATTATAGGCGGCTCAATGGATGTTTAAAGCATCTTTCCCATAATTTCTAAGGAGTCAGTGCATAAAGGGGAAGCTGGTGCTTGGGCTCACTCTACCATGTTGATCTAGTCTTTCTGGCTGCTTTATCTTTTCTAGAATTTTCCTATATTCTTCTAACCTCCCAGCTTGCAAATGCTGTTTCTAGACATTGGGTTTCTAAAGCCATTTGGGGGGAGTGGGGGGGGGCATGTAACATATGTTTTCAGTAGACCATCTTGAGCTGAAACTCTTGTTTAGTTTATGCCAGGGAAGAGGAAGCAGCTCCGTGAGATCCGGGAGAGCATTCGCTTTCTGCGCCAGGTTGGCAAGGACTGGGTCCAGCGTCGCCGGGAGGCCCTAAAGAGGGGTGAGGATGTCCCTGCTGACATCCTAACACAGATTCTCAAAGGTGCGAGGGCTGCTTCTGAGGGCTTGGGAGGGCCATGGGGCAGGGGATGCTCTCATCAGGTGACTGATCACCTTTGACTCCATTTGTCTCTGTCTGGCCTAAGAGGAGAAAGACAATTGTTTCATGAGCTGTGGGAAGAGGGAGCAGAGATCTCTGGGGAACTGAGGCTCTTATTGTCTTTCAGCTGAAGAGGGGGCCCAGGATGACGAGATTCTGCTGGACAACTTCGTCACCTTCTTCATTGCTGGTTTGTAGCTTCAGCAGTGATAAGGGCTCAGAGCTTTGCAGGAGTGCTGAGAACCAAGGATCACTTCAGTCTCCTGCCTCTGGGAGATTTTCTGGGCTAGCTGTGCAGAGTCCTGCTGCAGGGCTGGGAGCCAGGATGGGGAAGCAGAAGCCACTAAGCTGGTAATGGAGCCGGCAACCGTGGGGGGCTGTGAGGCTGGCTTTTTCATTAGAAGCATGGCTGTGTGGATGCAGGCTGCACTCAGAATTTGGGGGAGGCTTTCATTAGACTGACACAAAAAGATGTACTAAGCAACTTCCTCCATTGCTCATCAAGTATTTCTTGAGTGTCATTCAGCACCTACAAAACTCCTCCTCAGCCTCCAACAAGCCCTCAGATGATGCTTCTTTGGGGAACCCTAGCAGCCTCAAGCCCTCAGTCAGAAGCTGGCTCTGACCCCCAGAGGGCCTCTCTGCCCAACATCTCACAGTGTTAACCTCCATATTTATTTGTGGTAATCTGATGAGGTCTGTCTCCTTACCAGATTGTGTGCTTGGTGAGTGGGCAGTCAGGTTGTTTTGCTCACCTGTGTATTCCCAGGGCCCAGTGCAGTAAGCATCCATAAAGACTGGAGGAAATGGATGAACAAATGGATGAATACCTGGCACTGGGAAGACAGAGGTGAACAAGATGAGGGATAGTTCATAGCCTAATGGCAGAGGTAGACAGACAGACAAATGCTGATGGATAAGTAGTCTGTAGGTGTGGCGGGACGAAGGCCCTCCCAGTGGGAGAAGCACTCATGGACACTCAAGGAGACTGGGAGAAATGGTTGGTGTTGAAATAAGGAGTCAGGGCACTGCTCCCTGCTCAGGAACAAAAGCAGTTGCAGAGCAGAATGACTGGCCAGCCTCATTCCTGCAGCCTGATTTTGTCCTCCTGAAATGATGCCCTGGCCTCTCGTCAGGGAAGCCACCTCATCGGACCTGGGGGCTATGGAGGGCTATGGGCAGGTGCTCACAGCCTGGGAAGGGTGCAGGCCTTAGGCTCATAGGCTTTGGGTTAAGCCCCAGCTCTGCTCTCCCTGCCATGTGGCCACGGGTCAGTTCCTCTCAGCCTCAGCTTTTTCTTCTGCAAAATGAAGGTAAGCACCTCTCTAGGCCAGGTGAGGCCCAAAGGACAGTTGAAGGAAGGGGCTTTCAGAGCATGACAGCCTGATGCAGGGGGACAGACACCATTCACTTGAGCTCATTGGCTAGCACAGGGGATGCAGCGGCAGATGGACTGTGCCTTTCACATCTCAGCCTGGGGGTTCTGGTGCAGGGCCCATGTGGGAAGTGGGTCCCAGAGTCCCACGTGAAGCAGCAGCTCTCTTCCTTTCCCTCAGGTCACGAGACCTCTGCCAACCACTTGGCATTCACAGTGATGGAGCTGTGTCGCCAGCCAGAGATTGTGGCGAGGTATGGGGGCTGCCCTCAGGGTTGGCAAAGGGGTCTGTCTGATGTTTTGTTCCTAAGGGTCACCTGCCCCCACCTCAAAAGGCTGAGTTCGCACCCATGTGCCCCGCTTGCCTTCACCACACAGCCTTTGCATGGGCTGTTCTATCTTCTGGAAGCTCTTTTCCTGGAGAACATACCTCCCCCTCCCAACTCCCCTTCCTCCTCCCTTTTCTCTCCTCCAGAAGAGCCTTCTCAGATCCCTAAAGTAGCCACACTGTGCTCCTCTGCTAACCTCTTCCTAGCTCTCCAGTCTATTTTTTCCTGGGACTGTTTGTTTTAAGTCTACGTGTATTTCAGCCATGAAACCAGATGCTCCGGGAGGGCAGGGACATTGCTCCATCCCTCCACACAGTGTACCTGGTTCCTGGCTGGAGCTGGTACTGAGAACTGGGACAGAATTCCAACCAAAGTGCTGAGGGAGCGCTTGTCTTCCGTTGACAAGACAAAGAAGGGTGTCCCCAGGCAGATGGCATTTGAGCTGGGCCTTGATTTTCTTAAACACAAATAGGCTCCCTCAAAGACTATCCCCAAGTGTAAACAGCTCTCAGAAAGACCCAACAAGCTTGGGGTGGGTCCTGGCGAGGTGAGGACAGGCCTTTGACTATAGCTATCATCACCAGCATAAAAGGGCAGAAGTGAAAGATTGCCTGAAAGTATAAAGTAGTTTTTTGGGTTTAACAGTTAAAAAAAAATAGTATTATATACACATACTTTATGTTAAAAATTTGGAAAAGTCAGAAAAGTTAATAATAATAAACCCATCCATGGCCCCCTACCCACGTGGAGGCACTTTACTTTTAACTACTGAAAACAGTTAATCCAGCATCTTTTAGTCTACACATATATAGCTTTAATGTATTTTCATCATCTGGTTGTCTAACTGGTTTGCATTCACCATGAACTCTATCACAGCATTATTGTAACATTAAGGTAACCTCTTCTTAAATCCACCCTTTTTATTTCATTGTAGTAAAATATACATAATTTAATATTTTAATTATTTTTGTTTTTTGTTTTTTTCTAGAGATAGGCTCTCACTCTGTCTCCCAGGCTAGAGTGCAGTGGTGTGATAATAGCTCACTGCAACTTCTAACCCCTGGGTTCATACAATCCTCCTGCCTCAGTCTCCCGAGTAGCTGGGACTACAGGTGCAAACCATTATACCCAGATAATTTTGTAAGTTTTTATAGAGACAGGGTCTTTGCTCTGTTGCACAGGCTGGTCTCAAACCCCTGGCTTCAAGCTGTCCTCCTGCCTCAGCCTCCCAAAGTTCTGGGATTAAAGCATGAGCCACTGTGCCTAGCCTAATAGTTTAGTTATATTTAAACATACAATTCAGTAGCATTAAGTATATTCACATTGTTGTGCAACCATCACCACCATCCATCTCCAGAACTTCTTCATCTTTCCTTTTTTTTTTAAATTAAAAAAATTGTTTTCATCTTTCCTAATTGAAACTCCATCCCCATTAAACAATAACTACTCACACTCACCTCCCCCAGCCCCTGGTAACTCCCATTCTACTTTTTGTTCCTATGCATTTGTCTATTCTAGGTACCTCATGTAAGTGGAATCATACAGTTATTTGTCTGTTTTGTGACTGGCTTATTTCACTCAGCATAATGTCCTCAAGGTTCATCCATATTGTAGCGTGTGTCAGAATTCCCTTCCATTGTAAGTATAGACCACATGTTGCTTATCCATTCTTCTGTCTCTGGACACTTGGGTTGCTTCTACCTTTTGTCTATTGTGAATAATACTGCTATGAATATGGGTATACAAATATCTTTTCAAGTCCCTGCTTTCAATTCTTTTGGGTATATACCCAGGAGTGGAATTGCTGGATCATATGGTAATTCTATTTTTAAATTTTTACAGAATCGTCATACCATTTTTCCATAGTGGCTGTACCATTTTATACTCCCACCTACAGTGCACAGGGTTCTGATTTCTCCACATCTCACCCACATTTGTTACTTGGGGTTTTTGTTTTGCTTTGTTTTGTTTTGATAGTAGTCATCCTATTGAGTGTGAAGTGGTCCAAATCTACTCTTTAAATTGCATATTATTTTAACAGTGCATATCCTAAAGTTTACTCAACCAGCATCCTTGTACTTTTCATGCTGCTATTTCCAGCTGTTGGCAGCTGCAAACCAGGCCATGACAGGCATCTATGTGCATAAGCTTTGTTGTGAGGCGTGTTCTATTTCTTACAGCCAATTCCAAATATCATACTCAAAGGGTAGATGCTTTAAGGCCCCGGAACTTAGTTCCCAATGGCTTGGGCATTTTATTTTGGTTGTAGCAGTTGCTGGATTATCTTAGCAGTGTTTGTAGGTAGGGAACACTTCACGCTTCCTTCCATTCCCCCCTTCTCAAACTAATGTGGGGGAAAGTCCTTCTTTGGAGACAAACTTGTCTTTGTCTTACCCAACAGGCTACAGGCTGAGGTGGATGAGGTCATCGGTTCTAAGAGGCACTTGGATTTTGAGGATCTGGGGAGACTGCAGTACCTATCCCAGGTGTGGGGAGTAGGAGAGGAGCTTTGGGGCAGCTATGGGTGACCTGCTGCCTCTCTGGATTCTTTAGTACAATGGTTCTCAAATTTTGTTGCCTATAAGAGTCTGATAAGAGATTTAAGGCATCCTGAGACCCAGGCTGCCCCTAGAAGAATGGCATCAGGAGGGGCTCCTTGGGCAATCCCAGCATGCAGCCAAGGTTGGAAATCAGCCTTTTAGTAAACGATGCCATGTTTACACTTCCCAGCTAGGCTTGTGCTTCCCACCATGGGACCAGGCACAGCAGTCCCCAAAGTTCTGTAGAGGCTGTGCTTGGTCCTGCTAAAGGCACAGCTTTCATCTCTTTGTGGTTCTCTGGGGCAGCAGGAGCCCTGTCTCCTGGTTCTGCCTCTGTCATTGTGGCCTTGAACAACTCCCTTCTTCTGGGCCTCATTTTCCCTATCAGTTATATGAGGAGCTGGACATGATGGTGAGGTAACTGTCCCAGGGGTCTGGGACCCAGCCTGGGGTGAGCATGTGCGTTCAGCACTGTGAGTGGGAGAGAGATGGGTCAGGGCAGGCTGCTAGCACGTTTTGCAGCATCTCCTGACTTCCCTTGTTATTTCCTCTTGTGGCTCCTATAGGTCCTCAAAGAGTCACTGAGGCTGTACCCACCAGCATGGGGCACCTTTCGCCTGCTGGAAGAGGAGACCTTGATTGATGGGGTCAGAGTCCCTGGCAACACTCCACTCTTGGTGAGTAGGGACCCTGGGGGCCCTGAGGTAGGCTAGCCATCTTGTTCCCAGAGTAACCAAGGACTCCCTCTTGAGGTCAGGGAGGTCCATGGCCCTCTTCTCATCACTGTACTGGGCTTCCCTGGCCACTGCACTTTCTTCCTGAGTCTCACTAACTTCTGTGAGGTCTTTTTCTCCCCCTTCACACTGTCCACTGTTAGGCACAAGATTACAGCAGATAACTTTAGGGAGGAGGGACCCCATGTACAGTCAAGCACACTGAGGTTCAGAGAGGTTAGGTCACTTTCCTAGGATCACCAGCTGGTAAGGGACAGATGTGGGATGTGCTTGGTATCACGTTTAACCCAAACTTGTCCTAAGTCTTTCTTTCCCCACATTTTACAGTCCCTTCTCCACTGAAGTCACTTTCTCCCCATCCATCTTTGCACTTTAAGTCTTTGTCTGCTTGCTCATCCATTCATTCATTTATTCATTCATTCAGGTATCCATTCATCTATAATGATCTCCTAACCCACTGCCCATCCCCTGCTCCCCCTGAGTATCACTAGCCTGAATTTTACATCTGTTGTTCCCTCGCCTGTGTGTGTACGCATGTGCCCACGCAGTAACACGGTGTAGGACTTGATTTTTGACTCAGTATAAAGACTAGTAAGAGATTCTAGGTCATTCACTGTTGCTTAGCAATTCTGGAGTTGACAGGCCTTTGAGAGGTTTCCAGTTTGTCGCAGTCCTGAATACCACAGCAGCTGTGAGCATTTCTGTGCGTTGTGGTGCAACGTGAAAACGTGTTTCTTGGGCACGCCCAGGAGTAGGAGGGCTGGGTGTAGAACACACAAATACTTGACTCTACAAACTAATGCCAAATTATTTTTCCAAGTGGCTGTGCCAACTCGGACACCCACTAATGGCAAAGGAGAAAGCCTACTCTTCATCCTCTCTGCTACTTCGTGGGGTCCAATTTCTTGTTATGTTTTTGCCAGCCAAATACATGTACAAAAGTTTTGGGTTTTGTTTTTTGGTGTTTTTTTTGTTTTTGGCCGGGGCTGGGTTTGAACCTGCCACCTCTGGCATATGGGGCTGGTGCCCTACTCCTTGGAGCTACAGGCACCGCCTAAAGGTCATTTTTTTAATTTACACTTTCCTGTTCACTAGTGGGGCTGAACATCCCAGCGCTACTGTCCTTGTCTATGCGATGTTGGTTCAGTTTCTCCTTTTGGGTTGTTTGTCTTTTCTTATTGATATGTATTGTATGTATTTTTAGAAAATTATCTTTCGCCCAATATATATGTCTTTTCCAGATTTGTGGCTTGTCTTCATTGATGTGTTTTGGATGATCTGAAGTTCTTGATTATTTTAGCAATGAGTTCTACTGTTGTGTCTTATGTAGGAAATACTTCCCTATCCAGAGCTTAGACGCTTTTTCCTTAAACAAATTTTACATTTTTCTTTTGCAAGTTGAACTCTTAACTACCCGGAATTGATTTTGTGTACAGTTTCAAGGTAGGGAACTGTATTGGTTTTCCAGGGTTGCTGTAATGAAGTGCTATAGATTGGGAGGCTTAAACACCGGAAATTTATTTCCTTATAGTCCTGAAGGCTAGAAATCCAACATATAAAAAAAATGGTTGATTTCTTCTGAGGCCTCTCTCCTTAGCTTGTGGATGGCCATCTTCCATCTGTGTCCTCAGATAGCTCATCTTTGCGAGACCCTCAGCTTCTCTGGGCCTGTTTCATCCTTATAATGTGAGAGATGATGGATCAGAGCCACAGTCTGTGAGAAATTCAATAGGATAATGATATAACATGTCTCACAACAATCTTGGCACATAGTAGGGGCTCTAACTCCTAGCCCCCTTTCCTAATGCTCTCACTCACTTGTGGGAGCTCAGCTTCAGGCCTCCCTCCACCCCCTGCTTCTCCAGATTCTGGCACAGAAAATGAGGGTAGAGCAGGCTTAAGAAGACTCTGTCCAAGGGTGGGAGAGGCAGAGACTGGCACCCAGGGCCTACACTGGGGAGTGTGTTGCTTCTCCAAGGCCAGATGCCCAGCATCTGGAGGCCAGGGGCATGAAAAGAGCAGATCCCTCATCAGGAGGCACTGAAGTGCAGGTGAAAGGCCAGTGGGGGTCTGCAGTCTCCTTTCCTAGCCCCACTAACGCAAACTTCCAGTTGAAGAGAAATAGAACAACAGGTCTCAAGGGCCTAGAGAGATGGTCTTAAGTGTCAGATTGGACTTTAAATCTCAATTTGGCCACTTGTTTGCCTGGTGGCTTCAGAAAAGTCACTAAACCTTTCTCTGAGCCTCAATTTCCTCATCTGTAAAACTGGGGTAATTGTAGCTCCCCCCCAGGGATGCGCCAAGCATGGGATGATGTTAACACACTCAGCTGGTACATTGGATGGTCCCCTTTCTTCCTCTTAGAGATTTTCCAGGGGGCCACACTTGGCTAAATGGGGTGGAGGCTACTTTGCTCTGCATCACCTCATGGGAAGGCTGCAGTGGGTTGGGAGGTGCAAGGGACCAGCCCTGGAAAACAGAGACAAGAATATCCTCTCCTCACAGTTCAGCACCTACGTCATGGGGCGGATGGACATATACTTTGAGGACCCACTGACTTTCAACCCTGATCGCTTCAGCCCTGGAGCACCCAAGTAAGTCCCTCCTCGAGTTATCCATGAATGAGCCTGGTGGGAGAAAGATAATCATAGCAACTTCTGGTCTCAGCCACCCGTACCCACTGCAGCCACATAGGCTTCCAGATCCCTGTAGGTCAGTGGTTCTCAACCTGTGGGTCTCCTACATATCAGATATTTATATTACAATTCATAACAGTAGCAAAATTACAGCTATGAAGTAGCAATGAAAATAATGTTATGGTTGGGGGTCACCACAACATGAGAAACTGTATTAAAGGGTTACGGCATTAGGAAGGTAGAGAACCACTGCTGTAGGTGGTCATAAAGGAAATTACAACTTAGAGAGGTTAAGTAACTTGCCCAAGTGTCAGATCTGGGGCTTGACTCCAATTCAGTCTGGTTCTAAAGCCCATGCTCATAACCAGTATCTTGTGCTGGGATACCATGTGACTGGGCAAGTGATTTCACTTCCTCCGTCTTTGAGGTTTCTGTCTGAGAAATGGGAACATCTGGACATTGCTAGGGGGTCAATGTCAATGTGGTTATGTACCAAGGTCATGGTAGGAAGAGCTGGGCTCCCTGGACAGACCTGCTGGGTTTAGATCCACACTCTGCCAGAACTGGATGTAAGTGATGCTGACCTAGTCAAGTTGCTTTGCCTCTCTGAGCCTTAGTTCCTCCATCCGTGAAATGCGGATAATTGCAACTCCTTCAGGGAGAGTTAAGAGGAGGAGAAAATGAGAAAATGAAGACCCAGAGCTCAGCAGAGTCAACTTTTCTTTGTGCATGGAGAATACCGAGCCCCAGCTCATAGCTGATCACCAGTGAGGGAGGGTTTTGTCATTGCTGTCTTCTTTGTGTGGACCCTGCTGGGCCTAGGGCTGCCACTCCTACCCTCTCTCCCTGCAGGCCACGGTTCACCTACTTCCCCTTTTCTCTGGGCCATCGCTCCTGCATTGGTCAGCAGTTCGCTCAGGTAGGGGGCTGGGGCTGGGGCTGGGGTTCTGCCCAGTGTGACTGTGGGGGTAGTGGCTTGTCCTGGGCCAGGAAGCAATTCTGGGGCCTGCTCTGGGATGCCTGGGCTGGGGGCCAGCTGGGCCAGACCTAGGAGGACTGGCCGTTTTGCTGCAGAGATCGACCCTTGGAGGAAAACCAGGCCATGGCGTTTGCTGCCCATTTACTCATTCATTTTATCTTTCCTTCATTTCTTCCTCATTTCCTTGGCTGGGTGCTCATCACCCTTCCTTGTGCACAGATGGAAGTGAAGGTTGTCATGGCCAAGCTACTGCAGAGGCTTGAGTTCCGGCTGGTGCCTGGGCAGCGCTTCGGGCTACAGGAGCAGGCCACACTCAAGCCACTGGACCCTGTGCTATGTACCCTACGGCCCCGGGGCTGGCAGCCTGCACCCCCACCACCACCCTGCTGAGGGGCCCGTTGGGCAGGATAAGACTCCTTGGGCTAGGGCCGTGCCCACCTTCCTCTCTGCCCTGGCCCCTAGCCACTCTCCATGCTGGCTCCCAGTGGGCCCTCTGCCAGCCACCTGCTTCACACCCCTAGCGCTCTCTGTCCTTTGTGGACTGGCCCTTGCCTAACCCCCAGCTACCACCATTGTCTCTCCCCTACCTCCAAAATTTTGCACAAGCCACTTCCTCTGACAAGGCACCCTAACTCTTGCTCACTCCCTAAAGCCCTCTTCAGGTGTCATCTCCTCCAGGAAGCCCTCCCTGCCACCCCCGGCTGGGCCAGGGGCCCCTTGTCTGTGCTCCCTCAGTCACCTGTGCTACCTCTAACACCACACTGACCACACTGTATTGTGAGTGTCTGTTGATATGACCAACTGTCCAGCCTGGCTACGAGCGCCTCAGGGGCAGGGTCTGCGTGTGATTCCTCTCTGAGTCCCCTGTGCCCACCAGGGCCTGGCACAGAGTCGATACTCAATAAATGTGTGTTGACTGCATGGACGAATGGGGACCCAGGCCTTGGTGCTCTTGCCGCAGTTTGCTCATCTGTACAAGGAGGGAGATGTGGACGCTGGTCTCTCCAAGGGCTGACACAGCTCTGAAAGTTGCCAGCTCCAGATGCCCATAGAGATGCCCAGACAATGCCACCTTGGGAGAAGAGTGCTCCAGATTACCTGAAATGCCCTGCATCAGTTGAAGCCTGTTCCCTGCATAATATACAAGGCTGTACCCCTGGGTGCTGCATGAGGTTGAGGTTACAGGTGGGTGATTGGCATTGAGAGCTGAATTTGAGAGGTTAGGGAGGACCCCTGAGCTCTCTTGAGAGCAGCCTGGTGGAGCTGAGCCCACATGCCTGTCTCACACCTGTGGGCACCTGCTGTACCTGCTAGCACCACACTTCCCCTTCTGACCTGGCCAGAGGCAGCTGATCCTGCCAGCCCAGGTGGTAAGACTGTAATCCTCATGGTGCTGGGTGGAAGAAGCCACCCCTTCTCCCCCAAGGCCTAGGAACAGCCAGGGAGTAGTAAATACGGGGTGCATGGTATCCTCTGAACTCATCCATGCAAAAGGACCTGCTCTGAGTTTCTCCTTCAGTACTTGAGAGCTTGTCTTTGTGCAGAGAGAAAAACTGCCCTCATGCTCTGCCCAGAGTACAGGCCCCCCAGAAAGGTCCCTCTTCACACCAGGGAAGGCATGGATTTGTGCCAGCCTGTGATGTACACTGTCTCATTGGTCCTTGCCACAGTCTTAAACAACAGCTCCAAGGATCTTCCCTTCAAGCAGACAAAGGAACTGAGGCACAGGGGAAGAAGTGACACACTCAGTACAGGTGGGATCTGGGATGGAGATGAGAATGGAGGAAGCAAGTGTCTGAATTCCCAGCCTGTTGCTTTCCCTTACCCAGGTGAGCCATGGAGACCTGCACTGAGGGATGCCTTGGGTGTGGCAGAGTTTTTGCAGAGAGAGGGGACTCCTGCTCTCTGGGCACCTGTCTTGCTCTTCTGTCTCTGTTTCCATTTACTTCCAGGGGCCCCAGACCCCCTGCCCTCTGGGAGAATGGTGCACTTGGGCTCGGTCTCAGTTGCATGGCCAAGCCCACCACTTTCTTATCATTGCCCCGCCCAGAAGCAGCTTCCTCCCATGGCCACCTCCAGGTGCCACTGTCTTGTTCCCAGACCCTCAGCCCTGCACTCTTCCCCAGCCTGCCCTGCTGTGATCCCCTCCCTGGCTTTCTGCAACCCTCCTCTGAGGTTCACCAGCACCCCATGCCAGCCCCCCCTCACAGTCCATGCCATCTGTCCCCACTATGGCTAGACAAGTCCCACAGGACATTATCCCTGTGGAATGAAGTCCCTCCTTCATTATCTATCTAAAAGGGTCACAGGCCACCAAACCCTAGCACTGCAGGGACACAACCTGGCACTGTCTGGAGGGGTCTGGAGGGGTCAGCTCCCACCAGAAACTTCAAGTTGCCAGCTTTATCATCCCCCAATTGAGCAAATATTCACCGATTGCTGAGTCTGAGCCTTCACATCAGTATTTCTTCAATCCTCCTAGGTCACAGAGGTCCTCAAACTTTTTAAACAGGGGGCCAGTTCACTGTCCCTCAGATTGTTGGAGGGCCAGACTGCGGGCCCCAGGATGAGTCGGCTGCTAAGCAGGACAGGCCGCAGCGGCAAAAACACCCAAGGGGCCAGATAAATGTCCTAGGCGGGCTGCATGTGGCCTGCGGGCCATAGTTTGAGGACGCCTGTCCTAGGAGATGGGTGCCAAGCATGCCCCATTTCACAGATGGGGAGATCAAGACCCCAGCCACAGCCAGGCCACAGTCAAGACTTTGCTTCTGGTGTCCTTTCACAGCCTCAATGTGCCCTTCCTTGCAGGCCTGGGCTGGCCTTCTGAGCACCAGACATCCAGAAGCAAAAAGCAGTAGATTCCTGGGAAAAGCAAAGTGGCGTCCCAGCCCTGGATTCCATGTCTCTGCCTAGGGAGCCAGTGTATGGGAAGCCATTCTGACCTTCCGAAGCCACTTCCTATTTTATAGATTGGGACTTCTGTGAGAGGGCAGGTAGTTCTCAGTCCTGGCCCCATAGAGGAGTCACTTGAGCCAGGTAAATCAGTCTCTGGGGTAGGGCCCAGAAACTTTCCTTTTTAAGCCTCTCTGGAAACCCCATTGTGCACGTGCTGGTAATGCCAGTCTAAGTGAAAATGACTCCTAGGGCCCAGACAGATTGGATGTGATCAAACCCAGGGCTATGCAGCCAGACCGGCTAGAGTCAAGTCCCGCCCCAACTTGTCACTGGTTATGGGGCTTGGGCCTCAGTTTTCCCATCTGTAAGGGAGGAAAAATAATAAAATGTACGTCCTAGTGTTCGTGGGGGAATTAAGAGCGTACACACGTGGACTGCGCTTGGCACAACCTCTGGGCACGTTAGTGCTTTGACGCTCTTAGCATCCTCCTTGCTTCCTCCAGGGGTGAGTGAACTGTCCTAGGGACAAGACTTGCAGTCCCTAGAATAGCCACACGGTGGCGCCCTGGCGCAGCGTTCTGGACGCTAGTCCGCGCACCCAGTCCGGAGGGGCAGGAGCTCCACAGTGGGAGAACTAGGGGAGGCTACGCCCTCCTGGGGCCTTGGGCAGAACGAGAGGTTGCGGATGGTCTTGGGCGTCCACTGATTACTGAACTAGGGTTTGGGTAATGTAGTCCCCATTTCACAGATGGGGCCACCGAGGCGCGGTGAGGTTCGCCGGATTCATCCAGGGTCAGGCAGCTGGTGGAGACCCGGGGCACGGCCACCTAGGGCATGTCCCAGAGTAAGCCTGAGTAAGCCTGTGTCCAGCGGTGGGACGCTGGCCGGCCCTGGCTCGCTAGGAGAGGGCAGTTTCCCCGAGAAATTCACAAAGGGCGGGCAGTGGGGCCGGCTGTCCTGCTGCCTGCGAGGCTGAGGAATGCCTTCACTAGGCGACTCCGGAGGCTCCTAGTCCCCTCTCTACCCTGCCACTCCCTTCCGTGTAACCCTTGGCAGCAGTGGCCTTTATCAAATCTGTCCCTTCCTCTATAAACTTGGAGACCATGACGTGGAGAGAACACAGAGTTTTGGATCTACACGTTCACCCCAAGTGTACAGCCTGCACACCCCTGAGGGCTCTCTACCCCCCACAAGCTTCCTCAGTGCTGAGCTGCTCTGACTGGGAAATGGCTCTTTAGCCCAGCCCCCACACACTGTGCCCAGGGGCCTGGAGGTTGTGATGAGGGACAAAAGCTGACCCAGCTCTTTGAGGTGACTAGTAGTTCCCGCTGGGTTGGGGGTTGGCCTCAGGAGCCGCAGGCTGCCAGATGCATCCAGCCATAGCTGGTGGAAGTTTTTTCCCTCTAATCTCTAGATGTGGTCCCTGGAGGTTGGTGGCCTCCTGGGCTCCAATGACAGTCAATACAGGTAGTCAAGGGACTATGTCCTGTGTGGCAGCAATAAGCTGCCCATGTAGGAAAAGTTCTGGAGGGGGCTTGGCAGGGGGCTTGAGCTGGTCTTCTGGTACTCCTGGCCTAGTAGCCATCAAATCCTTTACTCTGGTCCAGAGTCAGGCTGTCCATGACCCCACTGGAGGGGGTGAATCCTAAATCATCTACCCTGCCCAGACCTCACCCCTGGGCTCCAGACAGCCTCAGGCATCGCTGTCTGGATGTCCAAAAATAACCCCCACTGAGCAGGGGACACTGCAGTAACTGGGAGTATTTCTGGCAGGTGGCCCGGGGACATACCGCGGGAGGGAGGGTCATCTCTCTGAATCAGGGCCAGGGCTGGAGAGGGAAAGCATCAAGCCCTTGCCTTGGCCTGGAGCTTTAAAAACACTCATTTCTTCCAGAACATGGACTCTCCTCACACTTCCTTCTCACTTGAGGAAACTGTAGTCATGCTCCTGGCCAGCCCCCTCAGACAGCCCCGGCTGGTAGACCAGGCCCTGGGCAGCCAGGCTGCATAGTCACACCCAGGGGAAGGCAGCCTGGGGATGCTTCATGCCAAGGACGATGCTGCCAGCTGCTGGGGTGGCGCTCCAAGGAGTCAGGACCAGGAGGGGAAAGGCTTGCCGCAGAGGGGCTCCAGGGATCTCAGGGCACTGGCCAGGCAGGGGGCAGGGGTGAGCAGCTGTCACAGGAGAGCCTTGGGCCTCTCACTCAGGCCAAGTCTTCCAGATGGAGTGTAGAGGTTTCCAGAATCTGTGCTGGCAGGCAGGGCAAAGGGCCCACCTGCCACTGGCCAGCTTCACTGCAACCCTGGGTCCCAACAAGGCATCAAGAAGTGGGGCCTGCCCCATCTGAGGGCAGAAGGGAGCCTTATCCCTGCGGGAAGCCCAGGAGCCTGAGCCTGGGAGCCCTCCCCACTAACCCCACACACCCTGTCATTTCTCACCAAATGACAGTGGCTCCACCCCAGAGTTAAGTGGGTTGCCCAAGGAAGCAGAGCTGCCCAAACCCAGGACACCCAGGGTAGCTGGATGGGCCCTTTGGGATTTTTTTCCTGGCTGAGAGCCCAGAGGCTGGGAGGGGTGCCGGGCTGAACAAGGGGACCCAGCCATAGGAAACTGGCTCCCAGAGCTGTGCTGGCACTTGTGTATGTGTGTGAGCCCTGTGTGAGCTCCGCATGTGCCTGTGTGTTCTCCGTGTCTATCTCTATGTCCCCATGTGTGTCTCTGTGTCTCCCATGTCTGTGTCACCCATGTCTGTGCATATCTATCTTCCTGTGTGTGGGACAACCTGTGTGCATCTCCGTGTCTGTGTCTTCGTGTCTCAGGCCCTGTTTGACTCTGGTATGTCCTGACTTGAACTGTATGAAGGTGTCTCTTTTAACCTAGGGCAGTGGGCAGACAGAAGGAGCACTCCATGGGCCTGGATCATGCATTCCATCCTCACCCTTGAGGATGTGCCTAGTGAGGTGGGGTGACCTGCCCAAGGGCCCAATCCCAGGAGGTGTGAGTCCATCCAATATAGACTTACATTGCCCTTGAGGTCATGGCCACCAGGCTCCCTGTTCACCAATTGTCCTGCCTGCTTATAGAGGGAACCCAAGGCCCAGAGAGACAGGGAGAAGATACCAGACTCCTGAGGCCCAGCTGGGCTCATGTAGATACAGGACAGGCAGGTGCCAGTGGTGGGGAGTGAGGCATGGCCATACCCCTTCACTTTGATCATTGACCTTCCTCTGTCCTTCCAGGAAAACTTTCCTCCCAGTGCTGGTGCTGCCTGGCTGAGCAGTGTGGAAGGCCAGGGGCCAGCCTCTCTCCATGAGGGGTGCAGGGGAGTGCCCTGGGTACACAGTAACTAGGCTGGTGGCCCCTGTTAGGCCCTCCCTTTGAAGTGACATGATGTCATGATGTTTAGGAGAACCTAGGAGGGGTCCTGGCTCAGGGCTGGACTGACATTCAGTAAAAGTGTGCCTTTCCCTTTGCCCTGTTGTCCTCAAAATGACCCCAACTTCTATCTGATTGGATCTCCTGTCATTGTCATTGTCTGGCAATCTCTGAGTGTTCCCAGTGCCCCAGGCTTTTTCCACCCTCAGCCCCTTCTCCTCCCATCCATCCCTGCCCTGTTCCTCACCTAGGTCTCTGCCTGAACGACTCTCCTCAGAGGTCCTTCCTGAACACCTGCCTTCTTTCTTGACCTTGGCTCCTGTACTGGCACCTCCCTCTCCAAGCCTCTGAGTTCCAAAAGGCTGCCCCAGTCTCATTCAGGCCTGGCTGCCACATTGTGATGCCCATTGAGTAGTTGTTGAAAATGATGTGAGGCACTTATGAACCCACAGAGGCTGGTGGGCACACCAATGACTGCTGGAGAGAGTCAGAGCTTCAGGATGAGTGGCAGGAGTGGCATCATGTGTGCACACATGCCCCATGCATGAACATGCTCCTATACACATCATCACAGGCTCACACACAGTCCCCTCACATGTACCCAGGGTCATGCACATGTGTGCACACACATGGGATGTGCACACATACCCATGTACCTGCACACACACACACACTTATTGCCATACCCATTCATTTACACACAAGTTCATGGGCAGTGGCCCACTCGCTGCTTCAGGGACCTCAGTAGCAGGGAACTTGAGTTGTTTTTGTCTTCAACACATGTTCCCACAATAAAGAAAACAGGAAGGGGCTTGGGGCCAGAGACCGGAAGGGAGGCAGGGGAAGTGGCCTGTACACAGGGAGCCGGCTCCAGCCAGTGGACACTGGGCTGACCATTTGGGTGGAAGGCAGGGCAGACAGATAGACAGGTGGGAGGTAGAATGACCCTCCATGGCTTCTGGGTCCCAGTGTTAATCTTTGCAGCCTTAAGGAGCATCACCCCTTCCAGGCAAGAAATGAGGCTGGGGGTGAGGCTTGTCTCCATCACCCCAGGGGACTGGTGGACCTGGCATTGAAGCTGGCTTCATCTGACACCAGGTTCTTCCCTGGCAGTGGCCAAGGTGAGGTCCTTGGTCTGGGACGCCAGGTAGCTCAGTGTAGCTCTTTTCTGCAGCCCACTGTTTGTCCAGCACTAGGGTATGTCTCAGTCTTGTGGCACCCAGGATTGGACTCTGGCAGTTTTATGTGAAGCCCAGGGGTGAGTCAGTCACCCTTGCTATTCCACATTGTGCTCCCCAATAATCCAGTCCATTCTAAGGAGCACAGAGCAGGTGCTGCAGGAGATGAGTCCTGAGATGGGCCCTATCTGGTGGCCACAGGTCCTGCCCAGCATTGCTCCACAGGACCATGTTGCCTGATGGCAGAGACCCTGGGGGATTCCTCCTGCCCCCAGACCTGGCCTAGGGCCTGGTATCTGGGAAATGCTCATAAAAGCTTCACAGAGATGATAAATGGAGGCACAGAGAGCGGCTGTTGCATGTGCAAACCCACATAGTGACGAGGACCCAGGAAACAGGTCTGCCTCCAGCCCATGCCTCAAGTCTGCCTGCAGCTCCAGGGGAGAGTAGAGGTGCCCATCACAGAAGAACCAGGCAGACCAGGCCACCTTTCCTGGTCCCGCCCCTTGCCTGGGGATACAGCTGCCACCTACTGAGACCTATTGCACTATCCAGAGTGCTGCAGCATTATCTCAGTTAATCCCGGGCCCCAGCCAGCGAGAGCTCCCACTCTACAGGGGAGGATACAGAGGATCTTCTCTGCTTGCTGGCCTGCATCTGATTCTTCCCCATGCCCGCCCCACCTCCATCCGGCCTACAGCCCCACCCTAGGCACAGAGCAGTGGGTTACCACTCACCCCCAGAGAGTTGTCCTGGGACCGCATCTAGGGGTGTGGAGGGAGGAGGAATTTCCAGGGTGGAGGAGGCTGTGGTCATAGGGCTCTGGAGATAGTTCCAGAGGTGGTCTGGCTTTGTATCTTTCTTTTTTCACTTAAATAAAAACTTCAGGAGGGACACAGGATGACCAACAGTCCTGGTTTGCCTGAGACTGAGGGGGTTCCCAAGATGAACTGAAGGCTAAAACAGGGAGAGTCTCAGGTAAATGGGACAAGAGGAACCCCAAATCTATTTAATCTAACTCTACCTGGTGATTGAACTCTTTTCACTGTGTCCCTATGCAGTGGCTGTCCAGATGTGCTTGCATACCCCCAGTGACGGTGAGCTCATTATTTTACAGGACAACAAGGGCCAACTGAGAGGACATGGCCAGGACTAGGCACTTACCAGAGAGCAGTCATAGTTGGCTGAGTGGCATGCAGGGGAAGTGGAGGCACAGTGCAGGGCCCCTGATCTGTCTTCAGGGGCAATCAGACAAGACTTTTAGAGGAGGAGGATAGGGAATTCTAGCCAAGAGAAGATACAGCAAAGGCCAGAAAGCCCTGGAATTACTTGATAGGGATGACATTCTTTTGCTATTCTCTCTAATGGCCAGTTTGGGGAGTGAAAGGTGGAGGCTGTGACCTTGCAACTCTCCTCCCTGCCTTACCCTCTGACAGGGCTTCTTTGGAAACATGTGGCCTCATCCTTCTGCCTACACTCCCCAGGTCTCTGAGCTGGGAAAGGCCTCAGTGGGGATGGTAGGGCGGTAGGATGCCTCAGAATGCTGCTCCACCCACCCCACTGTCTTTTTCCTGAGCCTCATTGTCCTCCAGCACAGGCATCTGCCTCCTCCTCCAGGAAACCTCCTCTGCTTTCCTCAGCCCTGGCTGCCCCCCTTCCACAAGCATCAGCCTTCTTCACTCCTCAGGGTTGCACCACCTCCAGTCTCTGCCAGAGACTCTTACCCCTCTCCAGCTGGGCTGTCCCACAGTTCAACTTGCTAGTCACTCCTCCTGGAATACCCTCTCCTCCCTTGAAAAAACTTTCTTGTCCCTTAAAGGTAACTCCAAAGCTAGTTCTTTGAGAAAGCCCTCCAGTATCTCCCTGCCTGGGCTTCTCTCCCCTGCTTTAAGCCATTTCCCTCCCTCTGTGCTCTGCATACAGAAGTGGGTAGACCTCCAGCCTGGTGAGTGTCGGGGGCAGGGAACAGAGCCTCTCCCTGGGGTGATCCCACTAGACACTCTGGACTTTGGCTGAGCCTGCCATTCGCCTGTGGAACCCAGGAGAGGGGCTGGGTTGGATCTTAGCCAAGCAGACAGCAAGAGCATACTAAGTGCTTGCTGGAGTATGTTTGTTCTCCCAACTAATATTCTCTGAGCACCTACTCTGTGTCAAGCACAGAATCTCATGGCTGCTGTGGGGAGTTATCTCCTTCTCACTTCAGCCTCCCCCAACATCCGTGGAGCAGTTAGCACCCAGTAGGTGCCCAGAAGTTTTGACTGCTCTTAGCTGAACAATCAAACACAAGGGTCAGTCATGCCTTCCTGTAGCCTTGGAGACAGACAGCCTGGCTCCAGATCCCTGTCACACCCCTAACTAACCCGGTGGCCTTGGGTGGGACATTTAACCCCATCTGTAACACAGACACAGTGGTCGTGGCAGCTCTAGAGAGCAGAGCAAGGTGACAAGTGCAGCTCCTGATCCCAGGCATGTGCTCAGTGGGTGGCATCGCTTGTTATTCTCCTTCCCTAAGTGCTCAGAAATGCCCCTTATGGGTAGGAGGGACCATTTCTGGGAGAGAGACTGCAGGCATCTCTCGGAGTCCCCAGATGCCGGGTCTTGGGGATTTACCAAGCACCCAAGGGTGCAGCAGCTTCTCAAGTCACATTCCGGGGCTGCCCAGGAAAGGCTCTGGGCAGGGAAGGGCAGTGCCCAGATTTATCCACCAATCGCATGGGCTCCTGGCACTGAGCACGTTCTTATCTGCCCAGCCCGGCATGTGGAGGGGGGTGGCCAGGCCGGCTGGGGCGGGACACTGACTGGGGGCCAGACACGAAGCAGCTTCAAGCCCTGCCGGGTGGGTGATAGCCGCTGAGGGCTCTGAGTGACCCTGCAGGCTGGTGGCCAGCCAACTGCCCATCTCCCGCACCATGTCGGACGGCGAGGGCCCCTCGGCCGGTGAGTGGCAGCTCTATATTTACCCACCATGGCTCCGGTTGCAGAGCCAAGGCCGCCAGTCACCAAAGGTGCTGGGGCCCCCGCAGGCTGCAGGCAGCTGTGAAGCTGGACCCCCTTCCTCCTAGCCTGGTGCCTGGGGACCTGCTTCACCGGACAGGGGAGCTTGATTTTCAAAGATAAGTTCTGCCGCACCCCGGCTTCCCAATGGGGCCAGAGCAGGAAGCTGTGTCTGCTGCTGCAAACCCTTTCCTCTGTCAGCTGGGGTGGCCAGAGCTGGCCCACAGGGTGATGGGCATAGACTGTGGCTGGATCCCTGGGTGGACTCAAGGTGCCATGGGCCCCCCAACCATGTGCAAGTGAGTAAAGTGAGTGTACATGCACATTTATCTGGTGGGAGCACACAGCTTCTGTCTGATTCACTAGGAACCTGAGATCCCCATAGTGGTCCTGAGCCCCTGGTCTGCCAGCATGAGGCAGGCTCCCTGTGGCCCCCAAAGCCCACAGGCAGGCACTGAGGGTCAGGTTCTGGGGACTCTCCATGCTCTCTGCCCTTTCCAGGGTAAGAGGCTGTGGTAGGCACTGGCTGTCCATGTCTCTGGCTAGTTATTCTAGCTCCATCTAGTTCAAGAAACAGTTCACTGTGGACATCCCTCTGAGTCAGTCTTGGTAGCGGGGGGCTGTGGACAGCCTAATCCAGGGGCTACATTGGGATGTAGAGTCAGGCTGCCTAGATTCAAATTCCAGTTCTTTCACTTTTGGGTTGGTAGACCTCGGGCGAGTGACTTACCTTCTCTGAGCCTCAGCATCCTCAGGTGAATATGGAGACAATGATTTGGTACCCAGCCCAATAATGGTTGTGAACATTAAATGCAACTATGTGTCAAAGTGTCTGCCAGTGCTTGGTGTGCAGTGAGTGCCCAGTGGCTCCTGTGTGGCAGCAGCAAATGATCCTGGACAGGAGCCCAGAGGGACAAGGAGCCTGTGCATCCAGGTCTGGCCTTCTCCTGGGCCTCCTTTGTGAGCCACCAATTGTCTATGGCACATGCATTCCTTACCTTGGAAACTCTTGGGACACATCTAGCTGCCCTGTGGGGTGCAGGAGTGGATTGTGGGTGATAGCACTCTGCATGGAATCTGAGGAACAGTCTTGTGCCTGGGCCTGGTTGGGTCATATTTGGGACACAGAGAGAGTTGGGTAAGGGGACACTGACAAAAGTGACCTGACCTGGCTGTCTTGCACTGGGCGCCAGACGTGCTGGCTGCCAGGAATTGCCCGCCGTGGCCGCAGGAGCTGGGAGAGCCAGCAGACGGCCCTTTCTGGCTGGCCCTGCCCCACACCTGACACAAACCCGGAATAGCTCTCCCCCTCCACCAGGGACACAGCCCTGGTTTTAGCAGCTTGTAAAGCCACCCTCATAGAGATGGGTATTTCAGGAAGGCCAGGACAATATTTAGCCCATCAGTGCAAAGCACCGAATGAGCACACGTGTGTATATGTAGCCTGGAGGCTGGGAGGGGATGCGGGCCTCATGGTTCCTTCCCCATTTAGGAGAGGATCACCTCGTTTGGGCTGAGAGATGGGGCCTGGCTTCCATCCTGGTTCTGTCTGCCTTGGCTGGGCAGGTGGCTCTGGGCAAGCTCTGGGCTTGATTTTCCTGTCTGTCGTATCTGTGTGGTAATGGCCTTTCATCTCTGATATGTGGGCTTGAGATTGAACCTGGTCAGCTGGGGTAACGACAGCACCTGGGTGCAGGGGAGTATATTTATTTATGGGGTAGGTGGGAGGCTCTGGCTAAAGAAGGTCTTTGGGAGTGCGTCATCTGAAGATCGGGCCTTTCTAGGTTTTCTGCCTTGCAGCAACAGTTGGACCAAGAACACTCTGGTAAAATATTTCTATCTGTTTTCAGTGGCCAATCCTGGGCCTGTGTCAACAGTGGGGACATCCTCAGCTCTCCACTCAAGATCTACATAACCTACGGCAGATTATGCAAGGAAACAATGTCTGTTTTCTCATCCATTAAATGGGGATAATAGGACATTATTAACTCTTCAGGTTGCAATAGGATTAAATGACTAAAAAATATGTAACTCGCTTAAAATAATGCCAGGCTTGGTGTTAGCAGTTATAGCTGTTTTTACTATTACTCAACAAATAAATAAGCTGACCCAGAGAGGGAAGTGAAGGGGCCAAATTATCTGCTGTGTCCTGCACATCTTGGACACACTGTTCATTCTATTTATTCCCTGGAGGTGGGTGACATCAGCTCCACTGTATAACTAAAAAGTGAGGCTCAGAGAGGCAAATGGACTTCCCCAAAGCCACCTGGCTAGTAAATAATAGAGTGGGGATTTGAACCCAGCTCCCCAAACCCTGTTAGCACAGAACCAGGTGAGGTACCTCTTTGGGGGAGGGACCCTGTACACAGACGGAGGTGGGCTGGCCCTCTCATGGGCCTTTTCAGCTCTCATCTGCAGAAGCAGCCCTTCTCATTTTAGAGATGGCTAGCTTAACATTGCTTCCGATAACTTGGAGACTGTGAAGAAAATGTGGTACCTTGTTAGGGCGTCAGGAAAGTTTGTGTAGAGCAAGAGTGCAACAGGAGGCTGCCGGCTCCTGGATTTATGGCCCAGTGCCTGAGCGGCAAGCCTGGAGGCTAAGGTTACAGGGAGTCAGCATCATATTTATAGCAGGAACTTGCCTGTGCGGAGGACTGTTGGTCCACATGGCCTGTCCCGCCAAGGCTTCCTGTACAGTTCCTGCATTCTAGGCTTGGCTCTGCTTCTTGGGTACTGGGGAGCTTTGGATGGGTCACTTCACCTGCTAACCTCAGTTTCTTCATCTGTACAACAGGGGGCTTACCATGTCTCTCCTTGGGTCTGGAGATAGAATCTGTAAGTGCCTGGCTTCTGTCTGGTGTAGAGAGGTCCAGAAGGCGCTGGCTCCACATATACTGACTGTATCTGTTAATTGTCTTTTCCTGCCTTTGACCGTGTGGTACTCCCATCTCCTGTCTTGACAGAATCTGCAGGAAGAGAATCCAGGCCTCTGTGCTGTCAGCTCCCCCAATGCTTGGGAAAGCTTCCAGCAAAGCAACTTTATAATTCTAAGCACTGAAGAATTCCAGGCATTCTAGTAGGACAATGAATGCAGGTCAGTCAGAGTTCAGGGTTCAAATCCACACTCTCCCACTCCCTGGCTCTGTGACCTGGGACAAGTTACTTAACCTCTCTGAGAGCTTTAGTGATAGTGATGGGTGGGCATTTGCCCTGCTAGAAGGATATGTAAGAACAGCTCTCTAAATGAGCAAGTGCTTGGCTTGCACAGTGATGAGATGAAAGCAAAACTTTAACTACTTTAGGCTTTTGGAGGGACCTTAGTGTCTCCTCTAGGCTGTTCCCCTCCTGATGGTAAGGGCTGCCCAGCTCCAGTCATGCCCCACCACATACACTAAAACTACATTTTGGCTTCATCCCCTGGGTGATAGGGAGCCAGTGAAGATTCTAGAGTCAGGGAGATACCTGGGTTGCTTCCGTGTAGAGGGTGAAGGGACTGCAGAGAGAATCTGGAGGCCAAGAGGCCAGGGAGGAGGCTGGTGAGGGTAGGGCCGACTCAGCAGAGGAAGGATGTGACAAAGAGCAAAATGGAGATTTGGTAACTACTGGGTGTGGAGGGCAGGGAAGGTGCCCAGGTGGCTAGAGCCTGATAAAGGACTGACTGCTGGCTCGGCGCCTGTGGCTCAAGTGGCTAAGGCACCAGCCACATACACCTAAGGTGGCGGGTTCGAATCCAGCCCGGGC